TAGTTGTTCACAACCATGCCTGTTAGATCAGAGCTCTTATTAAAGCCTTTCTCTTGAGACTATGAACGTGTGTAATTACAATTGTCCATGGTCATCCTTCAGGTTATACTGGGGTCCATGACTCTTCACACCCTGTTTGCATTACTGCGTAGAGTACTGAGCCCTTAAGGCCCCTTTTGCAAATTGTTAATTCGTAAATTACAACTACATTAGAATTCTTTCCCCCTCACATTCCATTTGCAGTACAGTAAGAGTGTGTGACCCCTAAGGCCCCTTTTCTTGGCCTGTTCATGTACACAATTGTATTTGTCCCAGCTCTTGTGCACCAGACAAGTAGTCTCTCTCCCTCATCTTCCTTTACCATCCAGCAGGGAGGGCCCATTGCATGAGTCCGTTATATTTGAACAGTCAAGGTGCACAGTTGTAAGTGACCACAGCCATATCCCTTGGACATTAATGTGCATAACTGCACATGGTTCATCCTATTTGACTCAGGTCTTACTCCATCAGACCCCTCTTGCAATACAGCAAGGGTGCTGACCACTAAGGCCTCTTTTCTTGGCCTGTTAATGTGCAAGATTATATTTGTCAGAGTTCCTGTGCACTAGACAAGAAAGACCTTTCCCTCATCTTCCTTTGCTGTCCATCAGGGAGGGGCCATTGCATGAGTCCATTACATTTGGAAAGTCAAGCTGCACAGTTTTAAGTGACCACAACCATGTCCATTGGGCATTAATGTGTATAACTGCATGTGGTTCATCCCATTCGACCAAGGTCCTACCTCCTCGCACTCCCTTAGTGGTGTAGCAGGGGTGCAGACTCCTAAAACCCCTTTTCTTGGCCTGTTAATATACACGATTAGATTTGTCCAGTTCTTGTGCACTGACAAGGAAACCTTCCTCCCTCATCTTACTTTGCTTTCTAGCAGGGAGTGTCCACTACATGAGTCTGTTACATTTGAATAGTCAAGGTGCACGATTATAAGTGACCACAATGTTGTCCTTTGGACATCAATGCGTATAATTGCACATATTTCATCCCATTTGAATAAGATCCTACCCTCACACCCTTTTTGCGATATAGCAAGGGTACTGACCAATAAGACCTCTTTTCTTGGCTTGTTACTGTGTATAACTGCATTTGTCCATGTTATTTGGACAGTCAAGGTACATGACTTTAATTGACCACAACTATGTCCCTTGGACATCAATCTGTGTAAATGCACATGGTTTGTCCCATTTGAATAAAATCCTATCTACTCATACACACATTTTTGTAACACAGCAATAAGACGTCTTTCCTTGGCCTGTTACTGTGCATAAGTGCATTTGTCCATATTCCTGTGCACCAGATAAAAGACCCCTCACCCCTCTCCCTTTGCCTTTCAGCAGGGAGCACCTAGTTCTTTAAGATCTTTTTAATTTGGATAGTCAAGGTACCTGACTTTAATTGGCCACAACCATGTCCTTTGGACATTTATGTGTATAATTGCCCATGGTTCATTTCATTTGAATAAGCTCCTACCCTGTCACACTCTTTTTTTGATGCAGTAAGGGTGCTGATCACTAAGCCTCTTTCCTTGGTCTGTTGTGCATAATTGCATTTGTCCATGTATGATCCTGTGTACTAGAAAAGGACATGACCCTGTCCTCCCTGACAACTCCCCCTGCCCCACTTACTTTGCCTTTCAGCAGGGAGGGCCCACTACTTTAAGAACCTTTTATTTAGACCGGTAAGGTATATGATTTTAATTGACCATGACCATGTCCGTTGGACATCAATGTGTATAAATGCACATGGTTCATCCCATTTGAATAAAATCCTACACCCTCCCACAATTTTTGCAATAAAGCAAAGGTGCTGACCACTAAGGCCTGTGATCGTGGCCTGTTGGTATGCATAACTGCATTTGTCCATGTTCCTGTGCAACAGATAAGGACACAGCCATGTCCTCCCTGATCCCCACCCCCACTGCCCCAAGCGCCTTTGCCTTTCAGCAGGGAGCACCCACTAGTTTAATATCCTTTTATTTGGACAGTCAAGGTAAATGACTTTAATTGACCACAACCATGTCCCTTGGATATTAATGTGTATAAATGCACATTTTTCATCCCATTTGAACAAGATCCTACCCCCTCACACCCTTCTTGTGATACAGTAAGGGTGATTACAACTAAGGCCTCCTTTCTTTGCCTATTACTGTGCATAATTGCATTTGCCCATATTCCTGTGCACTAGATAAGAACACTGCCCCCCTCGCCAACCCACCAGTGCCTTGGACATCAGTGCAACCTCTCTGCGATACAGCAAGGGTGCTGATTACTAAGACGAGACCTCCTTTCTTGGCCTATTACTGTGCATAACTACATTTGTCCATGTTCCTGTGCACCAGATAAGAACACTGCTCCATCTCCCCTCGCCAACCCCCAGTGTCTTTCCCTTACAGCAGGGAGCACCCACTGGTTTAAGATCCCTTTATTTGGACAGTCAAGGTACATGACATTAATTGAATACAACCATGTCCCTTGGACATCAATGTGTATAATTGCACATTATCCCATTTGAATAAGATCCTACCTCGTGACACACTTAGTGTGATATAGCAAGAGTGCTGACCACTAAGCCTCTTTTCTTGGCCTGTTGCTGTGCATAACTGCATTTGTCCATGTTCCTGTACACTAGATAAGGACACTAGCCC